GTGAGAACTGTAACAAAGATAAAAAAGAAATGAAGAACACATTATCTGAGATGAAAAGTATATTAAATGGAATAAATAGGGTGAATAAAGAAGATCGAACAACCAATATAGAGGATGGGGAAGCCAAGGACACTCAATCAGAATGGCAAGAAAAAGGAAGCCATGACTATAATAATAATTTAAGGAGCCTGTGGGACACAATTAAATGTAAAAATATCTGTGTCATAGGGGTACTTGAAGAGCTATTTGAAGAAATAATGATGAAAAACTTCCCTCACCTGGTGAAGGAAATAGACACACAAACCCAAGAAGCTCAGAGAGTCCCAAGAAAGAGTAACCCATAGAGACCCACATCAAGACACATCATAATTAAAATGTCAAATGTTAACTAGAAAGAGAGACTCTTAAAAGTAGCAAGAGAAAAGCAATTACCTACAAGGGAGCACCCATAAGACTGGCAGCTGATTTCTCAAAAGAACCTATGCAGGACAGAAGGGCTTGGCACAAAATATTTAATGTGATAAAAACCCAGAATCTACAACCAAGAATACTTTATCCAGCAAAGCTATCATTTAGAGTTGAAGACAGATAAAGAGCTTCCTAGACAAAAATAAACTAAAGGAATTTATCAACACCAAGCCAGTATTACAGGAAATGTTGGAGGGACTTCTTTAAGAAGAAAAAAACACGTATCAAAAACAGGAATAAAGAATGATAATAACTACATTCCTATCAACAAATACCTCAAATGGAAAAGAATTAAATGTTCCAACCAAAAGATAGTGTCTGAAAGGATAAGAAAACAAGACCCCTATATATGCTGCCTACAAGAGACTCACTTCAGATTAAAAGACACACACAGACTAAAAGGAAGAGGATGGAAAAAGATATTGCCTTGATGGACTTAGAGGGTATTGTGCTGAATGAAATGGGAAGGATAGAGAAAGACAAATATCACATAATTCCATGTATATGTGGAACTTAAAGAACAAAATAAACAACAGTAACAACAAAAGCAGAAATAAACTCATAGATACAGAGAATATTTTGAGGGCTACTAGATGGGAGGGGTGTTGGGAGGATGGTGAAAAAAGGCAAAGGGATTAAGAAATACAAATGGATAGTTGCAGAATAGAAATGGAGATGTAGAGTGTAGCATGGGGAATATGGTTAATAATGTTGTAATAAATATGTAAGGGGAAACAGGGGTGGATCTCTGATCACTATGCTGTACAACTGAAACTAGTATACTATTGTATGATGACGATAATTGAAAAAAACTCATTGAATTGTAGAATATAAATATGAGCAACTAATTGTCTATTATATTTCAATAAAGCCAGGGAGGAAAACCACTTAAATTGAAAAAAAAAAAAAAAAAACAACCTAACAAACATATGGGACATGATGAAAATGATCTAGCATACATGTAACTGTAGACATAAAAAAAGGGAAATAAAAATGGAGCAGAATTAATATATGAAGAAATACTGGCTAGGCAATTTCCAAAACTGATGAAGGTATTAAGCCACAGATTGAAGAAGCTCTAGTATCCCCAAAGTAGGATAAAGACCAGGAAA